GGGAGACTTACAAAAGCCTTGGTATGCAGGTTGAATCCAAAGTGGATCGCCATGGCTACGGGCTTTTAAACCATCACTCGCTGAGGACTGGGGTGGGTGTCGGGTCCACATTTGGGCCCCATCCATCAAACACCGGCCTCTGCAGAGCACGGTGCAGGCGCTATACAGACACAGGTCCCACCACCCTGGGGTCACCCTGCAGGACAAGCTGCAAGGCAATTACAGCATCTGCCACACAGGGGCGCTGTGAGAGATAAGGGATGTGGTCCAGAGTGGAGCAAGGTAGCCCCTCCCACTGCCTGAGAAGAGGAGCTCATACCTCCCCACCAGCAGCACTTGGGCAAGAGAAAGGACTTGAAGGCAGGGGGCTGAGCGTGTCCCCTGGCACCAGGCGAATCCCAGCCCTTCAGCGAGTCACTCTCTGGCTGTGCTTCTCAGGAGTCCTGCTTTCTCTGCCTCAAGAGTTTGGGGGATCAAATCAGGGTCTTCACGTAGGCTTCTGGCTCCAGAAGCTCACTGTTCAACTGCCACATCCTCTTAGCAGGATAAGTGGGGGCAGGAGAGGAAAGGAAGAAGATTCGGGAAATGTGCTTGCCTCCTGGGAAGGAGGAGACCCTGGATGCTGCACCGGGCTGGGAGCCCAAAGGCTGGGTGTGATACAGGCACCCGAGGAGCAGATGGCGAAACCCTCCGCGCAAAGCTGAGGACTTGGGCGTCCAAGTGAGACAGTCTCCTCTTCCTGATTGCATTATTTTCCTCTTGGAAAGGTTTTTTTGTACATCTTGAGTTCAAAGGAGGGTTTTGGGCAAAAGAGAGGCTGTCCCATCCCCAAAGCGGGTACTTGTCGGAACATGTGATTTGCCGAGTGCCGATGGGGAAGGGCAAGGAGCCCTGGACCGACGTCCCCGAAGTCCTGAGGCAATAGCAGGGCACCCGCTCTGAGTCAGAGGAAGGGTATGCTTCTACTATGACCAGCTCCTCCAGCACTGTGTCTTTCTCCTTCCCACGTCCCTCGGCTGAGAAGCAGGTGTGGTCCATTGCGGCAGGTTTACATCAACGAAAATCACATTCCTGGGCGCCTTGATTCTTTGACACATGCAGTGTCTGAGGCTGAATGACCCCTGACCTCTAGCCAGTCCCTGTTTACTCCTCTGCACAATCCACTCATCCATCAGGGAGTGGCCGTGCCCTTGGAAGGCGCCTCCAGCTCAGCCCCAGGGGCAGCCTTGCAGGGGTCCAGGAGCGCACAGGTTGCCCGATGCTGGTGCCCAGAGCATCCTCGAGGGCGCTTGCTGGGCACCTGCTCATATGAACCCACCCCACCCCCGCCCACCTACCTCCGTGTCAGCGACCTGGTTGCATTCATTCATTCGGGGGGATAGGAACCATACGTCCCCAATGCCAGGCTTTGCCAGGTGTCAGGGATGTGATGGGAGGTAAACCAGGCACAGTCCCATCCTTGATGGAGCTCACCTTTTGGTGAGAAGAGATGTCAGAAGCAAACAAGCAAAGAAACCAGGTTCTGGTGGTGGTTAAGTGCCATGGAGAGCATCGAGATCGTTGGGGGCATGGGTGTTAATACCAGGGAAGCGCTCTGAAGAGGGGACACTGAGCTGAGGACTGACTGATGACCTGCAGGGATACTTCAGCTCTGGTCCCTGAGCAGGAGAGCCCAAAAGGAAGCCATGACGGAGGGCCAGGTCGCAGGCGTGACGCAGAAGGCCCCAGCGCTGTCCCAGCTCATCAAATACAGGCGCCCAGGACTGCCCTGGCGGTCCAGTGGTTAGGACTCCGAGCTTCCACGGCAGGGGGCATGGTTTCTATTCCTGGTCGGGGAACTAAGATCCCTTGGCCAGAAAAAGATACAGACGCCCACTGCCTGGAACATTTGTGACAGTGTACGGGCCTCTGTCCCCACCCCCCGACCCCTGAGGCACAGGGCTTTCATGGACAGCAGCATAGGTGGCACGCTGTGGACTCCCTCACAAAAGGAAAGCAAGCACGGCCTGCTCAACTGGGAAGAGAGGTCATCCCTGTGAGGACACTCCGGTAGCTCACAGTTGGTCCGATTTCCCCAGGTGACCCTCCAGTCACATCCATCACAGGATCCAAAAGACCTCAGCCAATGGAGGCAGTCAGCCAGCTCCTGTAACTGGCACCCTTGCCCCAGCTCTTGGGTGTGAACCTCACTTAGTATTTGGTCCCTTTCTTGGAAGAGGGGCTGGTTCAGGTATGGCCAGGGTCCTTGGGGCTCTGGGCTCCTGGTCCTGGCTGCCTTGCACACACTTCCTTCTGAAAGCTCCCCTTCTCCCTGCCACGTGGAAAGGTGCCAGGCCACACCGTGCCTTCGCTTGGGAGCAGGGCGTCTCCCTCCTGAACATCACAGGTCCACGTGCTTCCTGAGGTGATGAGTGACCTTGACTCACGTCGGTGAAATAATGGCCTTCAGTCTCAACCTTCTTGGTCACGTTGCAACACAGCCCTCTGGAAGGAAGAACTAGTTCCCAGGGCCAGCTCAGGGAATTTCAAACACCTCCCAGTCTAGGCTTACCAAACTCACTGTCAAACGATCGGTCCACGTGCCAGAACCACCCTGGCCCGCTGCCACAAAAGGTGCAATGGCAGGGCCTTGGGGAGGTAGAGGCTGGAGGACTGGGGCCGATTCCCAGCTCTCCCTTTGCTGTGTGACTTTAGACGAATAACTCAACCTCTCTGAGCTGCTGCATCTGTATCCGCATGTGAGTTGTGGGGAAAATCGAGTGAGAAAATGGCCGTGAAAGCACTTTGTTAGTTTGAATGCACCACACCAGTGACAGTCCTTCTGTCCGGTTGAAAAATTGATCCTAATGGGTGAACTTTTGAGTTTTTACCCAAGGAGCTCTTGGCTTATGAGAAATGATATCCCTGAATCCACTTCGATGTTTTTAGTATATCAGCAAGTAAATTTCCGGGGTAAAATCCAAAATATAAACTCCATGCCACATTGTAGAGCATTATGATAAGATGTCAGGAGATCCCCATAGATGTAAACATCATAATATACTCTTTGCTCCAAAATAATTCCTTGCAGACCCAGAATTGGAACTTCCATGGCACTACTGGCTATGAGTTGACCCTGCAATGAGATACAGTATTGGGGCCCAATAGGGCCTTAGGCTGTTTTCTCTGAAACAAGTCTTTTTGTAGCTTACAATTTATACTATGAGAGAAGAATGAACAAGTTCTTCGAAGCTACATGCTTTGGAGTTGCACAAAGACTCCTGCCCTCCTGGTCAATGACCCTTGCTGCTCACATGGGTCCATGTTCCTCAAATGCCTCTTCTTAGAGGAAATTGCTAAACTTTCACCATTCCATTTTATCAACCAAAAGAGAGGCAAGACTCAGGTCCTTCCTCACCCACAGGTAATAACATCAGCCTAATTATGATGCCCAAGGACAAATGACCAAGGGTGTGGCTGTGAACAGAGGTGGGCTGGACAGGAAGGGACAAGCAGGCTGGGTCTGCAGAAGGATGTTCACCACATCACACGCACCCGTCTTGGCTAGTCTCCTGCCCCAGCAGTAGGAGAGACCTCCCCCACATCAGAAAGTAGGAATCTGATCCTCCTTGAAAAATACGGGCTGTGAGGGACTTCCCTGGTGGTCCAGCGGTTAAGACTCCGTGCTTCCACTGCAGGGGGCCTGGGTTCGATCCCTGGTCAGAGAGCTAAGATCCTGCATGCCACGTGCAGTGTGCCCCCCAAAAAAAACCCAATATATGTGTGTGTGTGTGTGTGTGTGTGTGTATATATATATATATATATATATATATATATATATATATATGGGGCGTGAGTGCTGGAAGGCTCCAGTAAATTCAAAACCAACTGCAGTAGAACCGTCCATCTTTCTTCTCCATGATCTCAGAGGGAGAGTTTAGAAACGCCAATACCCAAGCCCCACTTGCAGCCAGCTAGAAGGTGGAATCTCAAACGCCCCATGTCCAAGACCATCCTCTCGTTTCCCCTCTCCGTGTGCTCTTCCTAAGTCCTCTCCATCTCAATCCACGGCTCCATGCTCCAGCTCCAGCAAACACCCAGAAGTCATCCTTAATTCCTCCCTCCTTCGTGCCTCGTGTCCTGTCCATCACAATCGTATGTCAGTACTGCCTCTCCAAGAAATCCGGGCTCACGTACTCCTTCCCCTCGCCCGGTCCCCTGGCCAACGACCAGCTTACTCCCAGCGTCGCCTCTTGCAGTGTCTTTCTCCCTAAGCTGTGAACAGGCCACCCTCATTTCCCTGTCGGGGCCTCTGCCCGGCTGCCCCCTCCCTCTGGAATGGTCATCCCAGGTCTGGCCCTTCCCCATCATTTGGGATGAGCTCATGTAGACTGCTCTGCTGCCCTAACTAAAGTCGGTCCTCCCCTCGCAGCCTCCCCTCCAGCCCATCTCTGTTACATCATGCATTTTTATTTTCCTTTTCATTTGATGTGTTGATTATCTGTCTCCTGTGAGCCCCGTAAGCCAGGGGCCATGACTGCCTCATTCACCACCGTATCCCTGGCACCTGGAGCCATTCCTGGGCCAGCACGGGCTGCTCAGAAAGTACTTAATCACCACCTCTGAGAGTCCAGCAACTTCGAGCAGACTGGGCTTGGTACAGTACACTGACACTTCCTGGGGTCACCAACGGCCAGTGTCAACACCTCAGACCACAGGGCTGCGACCGAGTTCCCGGGGTGGCCGCCAAGGCCCGTCAGTGCTGAGGAGAAGTCCTGAGCCTCCCCCACCCCCCGCCTCCTTCTCTGCGGGGCGGCCCCTCCCTCCAGGAGTCAGGCCGCCCACGCCCCAGAGCCCTAGGGAGGAGAGCACCCTTCTCCCCTTCTTGGCCTCACCACCCAGCCAGGCAAGCCTTGCCATTTCCCCATCTATAAGACAGGGACAAAGAATGCTTTGTCACCCCACCTACTTCTCACGGTCTTGTGAAACTACAGTTTGCTTGGAAAACACTCTGAGCAACTTGGGTAAAGGTGCCTGTGGTTCAGATGACGTTGCTGTATTCGGTCCAGGCCCGGGGCCCTCCAACTCATCATCCGGTCACCGCCTTGCCTGCCTGAGGGATGGGAGGTGCGCAGCCTCTCCTGTGTCACCAGGCCTGTGTCACCAAGCCTACTGGCCACACTGTGGTCCCAGAATAAGCCCAGGAGGTACGTGTGCATTCCCGGGGCCGCCTGACCCACTGATTTCAGCAGAATATGAGCTCTCCGCGGGCCTGGACATTGGCCACCGAGTGCTCAGCCTGCCCTGTTGTCAGGAAGGAGAGCCAAGGGTTACCTGGGGATAACCTGCCCGGGCTCTGGCCACGTGGGGTGGGGCTGAGGCCTCGGTGCCAGCCTCTCAGGCCAGGAGCCGGGAACAGAGGAACTCGGTCTTGGCCCCTGGCCTGGGGAGGACAGAGCGCAGCCTGCAGGCACTCAGGTGCCCCTCATCGGCTGCAGATGCAGCGGCCACCACGTTGCCATGACAACCATACTTGGCAACCGTCTCTCTGCCCCCCCGCCCCACGGAGGGGACGACCCCCAGCACTGACCGGGCATTTCCCGGAGCAGCTTGAGGTTGACGATGGAGAAAGGCCAAGGGCTGGGCAGTATGAGGGGACAAGGAACACACCTGCTGGTCAGCCAACAGTCCGGCCTTCACTCCCGACTGGATGTTGGACTCAGCGCCCCCAGATCTCTCTCCCTGCAGCCTCCACCCAGGGGCTGCTGCTTCCCTAAAGCGGGTGGCAAGGCGTTTAGCAGACGGTGAACAACAGACAGCATGTACATTTAATTATAACTCTCCCGGATAGGAAGGGCTGGCTATATACAGTATGTCTGCCTGTTACTAATTATATTTATTTTCAAATGAGGGGGGCGGCGGGGAGGGGGATCTTCTGAAGATGAGTCAGAAAAAAAACCGTTCGGTGTTATGAAAGCAGAGCCACGTCTCCCAAGGGTGTCTGTAACACGTGGCTGTCACCGCCTGACAACGGAAAACCTGAGCCGAGCCAGCTACACTGCTGAACACGGCGCGATGGCTCTCCTCGCCCCGGGGCCCCTCAAGTGGGCGCCTGAGCAGCTGAAAGGCCTTCTCTCCGCCGGAGAGCCCGACAGCTGGCTGGGCCTCCTCCCTCCTGCAAAGACAGGGCCATGCAAGCGTCTGCTGTCACCTCAACTGGGAGGCAGCGTTCCAGCTGAAACACAGGAAAGACTTTTTTCCTCATCAAAGGAAAAGCATTCTGCCCAGATGGCCGAAATGAAAAGACTTCAATTTCAATCCCCACACAGCCCACGATGTTATTTCTAACAACACCGTGAACACCTATAAACCCACGATAGTCACCCCCATGCCTGGCAGAAGCCGGCCACACTATGGAGGCGGTCAGAGCGCTGGGCTGTCTGACCAGCGGACGCGGGCCACACACACGTGTGCACTCCCCTCCGGGTCCGTGTGTGTGAGGTGCACACGGGCGTTTGGGGCAGGGGTGTTCCTCGGGCCCCATCAGCTCCTCCGACTTTAAGGCGCTCGGCTGCCCTGCCTTCTCGCCACACGTACACCGTGGAGTGAGGAACAAAGGGGACCCAAGGCGACACTTCCGCCCAGGGGAGACGTTCAAAGCCATAGCATTCAGAACGGGTTTTCCAATAATTTTTAAAATAGTCACACTTGTTTTGTTTGCTTTCTTCCAGGAAGGCTGCACTGTTTTGGAAAAGGAGGGGGAGGACAAAAAAAAAGAAAAAAATGTGAGTTCATTTCCTGAGTCTTTTAAATATTTCTCCGTAGACAGAGCACTGAGAAGCCAGGACCAGAGGGCAAGGCGAGCTCCGGGCGGCAGCACACCTGAGGTGCAGAGCGGAACTTGGTCCCCACCCATGCTCTTAACGGGCCGTCGGCGGGGAAACCAGATTCAGAGACAGGGGGGGGCAGGTCCCCAGAAATGTCATTAAGGCAAGCTGTTCTTGGAATGGGTCTAGCTGTTTGTCCAGGCAAAGTTGGATGATTAACTCAGTTTATCTGAAGGCGGAGGCAGAAAATGGACCCGGTGACTGATAAATCAGGGAGCCAGGAGGGAGTTACAGGTGCAGCCAACGCTTGTCGGAGTGCTTTTCACACATGCTATTTTACCCCACGAGCAGTGGCACTGTGCCCGTTCCACAGGGGAGGCTCTGGCGGGTACGCAGCAGATCCGAGGGCATCCTACCCTCTGCCCCAGACTAAGCCATCTTCCCCGGGTGGCTCTCCGAGCCCTCTGTCCCTTTCCTTCAGGGCTGTTAGCTGGCATCATGCGCAAATGGCACTGCGGGGTGAGCTGGCCTGCATCTGTTTCTCTGCCCCACTAGGATAAAAACTCCACGAGGACAAGGACGCGCCTTCTCACCAGCGTGTGTGGGACCAGCACAGAGCCGCGAGCACAGCAGCCCTGCCGTGTGTATTTGTCGGATGAGTGAAGGAATGAATGAATGAACCAAAAACTTCCGCCTGAAAGGAGGAGAGAAGGCCCAGGAGAGACGCATGGCAACTCCGAGCCTGCCAGCTGTGACACAGCTGGGTTCATTTTGAAACCAGCGGCAGCAGCCAGCCCATACTGAGCCTCCACGGCCAGGGCACCCGGCTGCCAGGCCTGGGGCAGCTCTGCCCTTCCTGTCAAGGTTCTGTGCAGCGTGGGCAGGGCACGGACCCCCGGGCGGCAGATGGGGGCCAACACCCTTGGGACGGATGGACACTCAGGACCCAGGAGACCTGCACTTTATCCTAAAGGCATCCTGGCAATTCAGGGGCAGAGCCTGGAATCAGACCCGTCAGTCCTGCCCATAAAGTCCCTGATGGGCTCATGGATTGAAGCAATGATCTGGTTTTCAGAGCAATGGTCCCAGTTCCAGTTGAGCCGCACAAAGATGACCCGCAGGCTCAAAGTTTCAGGGCCTGGCCACTGAGAAAGCCTCCCGGCTCTGCAGCCCGGCCTCCCCTGCTCTCCTCCGAGACCCCAAGGCGGATTCAGTGACAGTGAGACTGACTGAGGGAAAGAAAAAGGGACAGGACAGAAAGACATGTAAAAAATGGGGACCCCGTGAGGCAGGGGACCTCTGAAGGCTGGTCCACTGCTGTGTCTTTTATCCTGGTTCTACACACAAGCATCTGTAAGCGCTGTTTGCACCCCTGGCTTTGCCTTCAAACCAGGACTTCTGGGGAAACACAGGGCCCAGCCCTTGAAGGCTCCCAGCCCACCGATGATGCCAGGTGGGGAAACCGCAGCGCAACCCACCTCTGTGTGGCACAGAGGCACCCACCGGACTGTCACCACCCCGGGGTCTGCAGCTCCTCCAAGGAGATGGAAGGGGGCAGTGGGCAGTCCCAGCCTCCAGTGGCCAATTCCTCTCCTTTGCCTCTAACTTTCTGATTCTGCTGGGTTGAAGTTTATGAGAAAATGGATCCAGCCATTTCTAGGGGAAAGAAGTGAGGAGCTGGTATTGAAATCACCCTTCAATATGACCCCATTCTGTTCCCGGGTCACACAAAGTACTGTTGAAAAGCCTCCTTCCCCCTTATAGGTGGCCCTTTGGAGCCGAGGCAGAAGTTACTCTGCTGCCTTGTGGGCATGACGAAGCATAACGCAGCAGAGAAGACCCGAGATGCCAGGACCCGCTCGTGTGGGCTGTATCCCACCACCATGCTCTCCAAAGGGCCATTTGGCTCCAATGTATCATATGACTTGTTCTTAGAGTTACATTTTAACTGACAAAGTTTAACAACAACTATGACTTATGGCCTTCTAAAATTGGCAGCAGAAAAATGAACTGAGGAAGTAATGGAAAAAACCACAAGTGAAGCCACTCTGTATTATGCACAATTTCTGTTGTGTTTTTTCTTCCTTTCCAAGCATGTGTGTGTGTGTGTGTGTGTGTGTGTGTGTGTGTGTGTGTGTGTGTGTTTTCGAATGGTAGAAAATATTTTCCAGATACGCTGCCCTGGCTTTCCCAAGCACATATTTATGCCAAGTTTATAAAAAGCAGCTGCAGACAGGGTTGACCGAAAGGATTGCTCTGCTGTCTGGCTTCCAGAAGGTGCTTAGGTCCTCAGCCTGTCAACAGGACACAGACTTACTGCCTAAAACTCACCTTCTGCGTCGTGCACCTGAAAGAGGACAAAGCCACGGCGCGGCGTGACCTGGAGGGACATGGGGCCCCTGCCGTTCTAGGTGTTCACATCCCACTTTTGATTTGCAAGGTGCTTTAGTGACCTGTGCTTTATCATTTTTAGTCATTCGAAATCCCCACGCAGACACAAAAAGAAAGTGTTCGGAGGCGCATCTCACAAACGTCTGGGTGGCTCAGGGGTGGGCGGCGCAGCGATGGGAAGGCCCATCAGCTTCACTTTCTGAACCGTCCAGAGCAGATGGTGGAGCCGCGTGGCTGAGCCCGTGTTAAACCGTCTGCATCTACTCGCGTTGGCCTGAGACTCCAATCCCCTCCCCTAGCCCCTGGGTGGGCGAAGCTGCCCAGTGAGAAGCTCCAGCCTCCTCTGCACCGTGGAGGGACATCACCCTGGGACACCCTGAGCCACTGCCCGCCTGCGCCCAAATCCAGACTCTCACTGGCCCGGGGACGGGGCGTCCACTTGCCTTCCTCCGCCCCACCGGCCTTAATGAGGATGATAATACCTAGCTCTGTGGCTTTCCTGGGGGTGACTAACTGGTTAATCCTGGGAAGGCCCTTTGAAGGTGGCAAGCAGGGTATTACTCATGGGCTTGAAGGCAGGCACCTGCCCCAGTCTGGGCCTGAGTCAGCAGAGAGACCTCCCTCCTGCAGGCAGACTAGGCGCGCTGGCCCGAGTCCCTGCTCAAGGTCAGGGCTGGCCAAGGGGAGGGGTGTGGCCAGCACGCCTCCATGGCCTGTGCCATGTGGGCCCGGAGTTTGGGAACCGTGTGTCATGGGCGTTTGCGTGGTTGAATAAGCCTCCAAATGACTCCGCCAAAAGGGCAGCGTTACCTCCAGAATTATCAGTCGAGACAGTATTTCCTGGTCATTGTTAGGGGAAAATGCTTTTCTCACAGCAAATTCCTCCCAAGCGATGCCGTTTTTCTCCTTCCTCTGGAGGAAGGCGGGCTGGGGTGGTAGTTGGGCAGCCTGGGAGACCTGAGGTCAGGGTGCCAGGACCAGTGACGGCTATGCTGTCTCGTCTCCAGCCCCTGGTCTGCCCAGTCTGCTCCCCGCTCACATCTCCCAGGAAGAGGAAGTGGTAGCAAGAACTGGGAACCAGAGGCCAAAACCAGTGGGTGAAGGCGAGGGTCGCTCGGGACCACACGGTGGAGGGGGATTCTGACACGGCGGCAGCTGGAAAGCCAAGAACAGAAAGCCTTTAAGCAGCGCGACCTGATGCCAAGATTCCGCGCCCAGAGCCCCCGCTTCCCGCGCTCCACACATTCCTCCCCCCTCCCTCTCTCCCTCCCAGCACCTTCTCCCAGTGACCCCTCTCCGCGCAGCCTCTGTGCACGCAGCACTAGTTTCTTCTTTCTTCTAGAACACAGGTCATGCGGCCAGAAGGACTGCAGGCACTTCTGCTTTCTCTTTTAGTTCCCCAGGTCCCTGTAAGTTTTTCACGGCCCTTTCTCCTTCCGTAGGCCGCCTGGAACCCTAGAGGCCTCCACAACACACAGAATGACAAAGATCCGAAAAGAGGATGGAAGGATGGGACCCTGAGGGCGGGAAAGAGGGCAGAGGGGCTACTCATCTTTGCAGGCAGTCAGGAATGGATGGGGTGCAGGGGGGAGGTGCAGAGCAGAGGGAACAGGCTATGAAATGATCTTCTTCTGTTCTGTTTTGAAGGAGGTGGGTGGAAATGACAGTTTGGAGAGGATTAGAATGAGGGAAAATGGTTTCAGGGGAAGCAGCCTCTTTTCTCCAGTTCTAACAGTGCCACCAAGTGGCTTGTGCAAGCAGGTGCAGGGCAGAGCCTCCGGACAGCCCACGCTGACCCCGTGGAGAGAGGAGCAATGGGGCTTTGCAAAGGGCACCCTGCTGATTGCCAGGGGCCAGCCTCTCGCCTCTCAGCCGCATAGCCAAACACCTTTCCCTAGATCGGCCGGCAAGGAGGTGGGGGAGGTAGCTACCCAAGTGTACCCTTAGTCACCCCAATGCATACGGCGACCAAGTTCACCAGGTTCCTGATTCATTTGGCCTCTGCCCACACACACTTGCATCACTGGGAGGAATTAGGACAGAAGTCATGGTCCCACGAGAGGCACAGAAGTACATTTCCAACCAGAGAAGTGGTCAGTGACCAGAGCAAGCCTGTCTGGGCCATTAGACCCTTGTCTATGTTCAAAGGAGAGCTGAGGGCTGAAGGGTGCTGGGTGAGACTAGGCAAGGTGAGCACACCTGGGGAAGCCTGGCCAGCATCCCTCAAGCTAAACTTCCGGCCAGGGACACAAGTCTTCTGGCATTTCACTTAACTGTAGTTGCATTCTTTTTTTAACTCTGCAAATCAAAATCAATTCGCCTTGGAACTCCACAAGTTGTTTTTCTTTCTAAAGAGAGACATTTTACTGAAACGGAAGACTTTGCCAGCAGTTGTGTATTTGGTACCTGGAACCGAGCAGCAGATGGGGCAAGGCTCAGGGAGAACATCCCCCCAGGAGTCCAGGCGCCTGATGCTCGTCAAGCCCTAACACTAAGCTGCTGTGTACCTCTGAGGAGGTAACCTCAGGCTCTAGCCTCACTTTTCTGTAAAAACGGGACACAGCTAGAGCCACGGTTTTCAAAACACTCCTCAGTCCCAGGGGAGGGATGCCAGTTTGGTGGGACTTTGGCCACCATCTCCTTTACCAGAACAACTCAGCCTTTATCCATCTTTCATAGTTGGCTGTTAGGTAAGCCCTTATGTGAACAAAGGGTTCCACAGTGTCATAACCACTTTTTCCTTTTTTTTATCTTTTAGCCACGCCACACAGCCTGTGGGATCTTAGTTCCCTGACCAGGGATCAAACCCGCGCCCCCTGCATCGGCAGCACGGAGTCTTAGCCACTGGCCCGCCAGGGAAGTCCCCGTCATAGACACTTTGGGGGCACCTGCCCAGACCACGGCTCTCATGATGGTCCACCCCGCCAGCAGAGCTGAGGCCCTAACACTCTGTACTTCATGACTGCAGACCCGGATGAGGACTGACTGCACAGAGACGGACACCTGCTCCTGGTGAGCCAACCTGATTCCCCTCCCCAGAAATTGAAACTGGGTCAGACTGGGTCCAAGTCAGTCTCCGTTAGAGCTGAAGTGGCCATTGGGGGTGGCCGTCTGGGATCATGGGATGGAGGAGGCCTGACAGCAGTCCCAGCTTTCCACTCCCCACGGTGCCCCGCCCTACGTTCCCCTGCATAAACTTCCCGGGTTAAAAGCTTCCAAATCTCTAGACAACACCCTCTGAAAGCTTCTTCCCGTCCCTAGGAAACAGCAAGATCACCCAGCCCAGCGCGATACACCTCATCTCCCCAGAGCCACATTCTGTTTTGTTTCGTTTTTTAAGGGCAGTTTCTAAATAGACTATGTAATCTTATGAACAAAAATGTTTACCAGAGCAGGCATATAATGACTCAGTAAGTAGCAACATTATCATTACCTCTATTATTGATATATTCAAAAGTCCTTTATAAATCGGTCATACTGTTCCGTTGCTATACATTTTAATTTCGAAAACATTTTGTTGTTCATAGCTCCTTGAACCACACCTACCGATAACACTTTTTAAAATCTATTAATCCTGAAATCTTCCATCCGAGGACTTAAGTATCTGTAAATATGCTAGTTCTTTCATTCATCTATTTTCTTAGATGCTCTGAGATCTACCAAAGAACTAGATGACAAAAATCCCTTCACTAAGAGCTTACAGGGTAGGAATGAAATAACGCCATTTGCAGTAACATGGATGGACCTAGAGATTATCATATTAAGCAAAGAAAGTCAGACAGAGAAAGACAAATATCACATGACATCACTTATATGGGGAATCTAAAAAAAAAAAAATGATACAAATGAACTTATTTACAAAACAGAAACAGACTGGGAGACTTTGAAAACAAATTTATGGTTACCAAAGGGGAAATGCAGCAGTGGGGGAGTGGGTGATAAATTAGGAGATTGGGATTAACATACACACACTACTATACATGACATAGACAATCACAAGGACCTGCTGTAGAGCACAGGGAGCTCTACTCAATACTCTGCAATAACCTGTATGGGAAGAGGATCTGAAAAATAATGGGTATGTGTATAATTGAATCACTTTGCTGTACACCTGAAACTAACACAACACTGTAAATCAACTATACTCCAATATAAAATAAAAATTAAATTTAAAAATGGAATAAGAAAAATCTTTTTAAAAGAGCTTACAGGGTAGAATTTGAAGAAATCATAATTTTAAGTGGGTATTTCCTAAATTAGGTATTCTTACATTAGAGAAGACCTGTGCCTTACTCCACAACAGACCAAAGAGTCACATATTGTCAATTTGAGAAAAGGCTTTCAAGGCGCCTGTGTATTTGTCACCCTGGGCCACGACCTAATGGTGGACCCTGAAATCAATTTAGTGGATCAGAACCAGCATTTTAGATTTTTAAAAAAATTTTATTGAAATACAGTTGATTTGGGCTTCCCTGGTGGCGCGGTGGTTAAGAATCCGCTTGCCAATGCAGGGGACACGGGTTCGAGCCCTGGTCGGGGAAGATCCCACATGCCGTGGAGCAACTAAGCCCGTGCGCCACAACTACTGAGCCTGCGCTCTAGAGCCTGCGAGCCACAACTACTGAGCCCACATGCCACAACTACTGAAGCCCACGTGCCTAGAGCCTGTGCTCCTCAACAAGAGAAACCACTGCAATGAGAAGCCCGCGCACCGCAATGAAGAGTAGCCTTGGCTCGCCGCAACTAGAGAAAGCCCGCACGCAGCAACCAAGACCCAACACAGCCAAAAATAAACAAATAAATAAATTTGAAATACCGTTGATTTACAATGTTGTATTAGTTTCAGGTATACAGCAAAATGACTTAGCTATACATATATCCATTCTTTTTTTAGATTCTTTTCCATTATAGGTTATTACAAGATACTGAGTATGGTTCCCTGTGATATACAGTAGGTCCCTGTTGGTTATCTATTTTATATAGAGTAGTGTGTATATGTTAATTCCAAATTCCTAATTTATCCCTCCCCCGCCTCCCCTTTGGTAACCATAAGTTTGTTTTCTATGTTTTTGTAAATAAGTTCATTTGTATCCTCTTTTTAGGTTCCACATATTACCGATTAGATTTTTTTTTGTAATTAGTGTGTGTCACATGCAACAAGGCTAAGTATTGTTATGTAAAACCTGATTTCAGCCATATAAATGGATGTGCAGGGTGACAATGTCAAATGCATGTCTCACTGTGGGTTGGGGGGTGGCAAGGGGCAGGTGGCTGGTGGGATGAGCAGAGTCCAGGAAGCCAGGCTTGAAACCCCCGGTCACTTTTGGTGGCGCTGGCGCTGGGCCTGGACGATGCGCACAGTCCAGTAGCCGTTATTCTTACACGTGTGAGAGCTACAAAGGTCCTCGCCCATCACCGCACTGAACCCCTGGCAGGACAGCGGTCGGTGGTCTCTGACAGCCATGGCCATGGCCACACAATAGCAGAGAATCTAGTTGATTAAGTGATGTTTTTATTTACATGACACAAAATAACCATTTTACCTGATTTTGTCCTTTGCAGGCTTGACAGAAGCTCAGGATTACTTGGGGCACAGTACAGGTCAGAATCTTGCTACTCAAAGCCTGGAACTGGGAGCTTGGCCTCACCTGGGAACTTATTAAAAGGAGACTCCCAAGCCCCATCCCAACTTAATGAATAAGAATCTGCATTTTAACACGGGCCCAGAGATTCGTGCTTGCATTTAAAGTTTGAGGAGCTCCGACTCAGAAGTGCTGGTCCACTAACTGACACGCAGCTTCGGTAGAGTTTTCACTGGTCCACATGAAAATGTCAGTGTGAAATTTGTCCTTTCTCGGCAAGAGCCATCTTCCACTCTGATTGTATTCCCTTCCTACTACTTTTTAGGCATAAAGTGTGCTTGAGGAAGCGAGACTGATTGTGATTGTGGATGTAGTTCTGTCTTGTTTTGTTTCATGTGTTCAGCAGTCAAAAATAAAACTTGGTTACCTATGCCTTCCACGTTGTCATTTTTTCTAGCCCAGGGACCCGAAAGCCTGGGAACAACTAGTAGAAGTCAGAAGCGTGTCTTGCTGATTTCTGCGCCGTCTAAAGCAGAACTGGAAAGCACTATTTGTTCCACGTGAAGATGAGAGGTACAGCAGTGCTTGCCTTTCTTTCATAGTCTTGGAAACTCCAAGGAGTGCCCCCTCTGTAAGGAGCATCACACGCTGCTCGCACATAGACCCGGGAAGGCAGCAGGCTGGCTTGCACTTCCAGATTCCAGGTGGCCTTCCAGATTCCAGATCCCACCGGAGCCCAGGCTCGCCCACCCCCCGTGCACCCCGGGACCCCCCGCACGTCCACAAACTAGCCGATCAGTGTAAGAGGCCATGTGCTTGGGAAATGAGCCCCTCTGGCCAAAGCAAACTGGACATGAAGTCTTATAAACATGGCCCTCGCATTCAGACCCGCTTAAGAACCATCAGAAAACACCTGCATGACTGGAAACCCAAACATGCCTGGGTTTGTTTTCTCTGACATCCTCTCCTGAAAACTGGAGGGCCTGTTATGAGCAGGAACTAGGTAGAAGGTGAGGACATCATGCCACTCGGTAAATAGGAGTGACCTTCCTGAAGAAATGGAACACTGGGAGTGATTCTGGGATCCTGGCATGGTGAGAAGGAAGGAAACCTGAAAGGCAAGCAGCATCCGGCCGGTGGGCCTGCAGAAGGCGGCAGCAGCCACGACCCTGCCCCACATTCTTGGACCCCGAAGCCCACCTCCCAGCAAAGGCTCCGGGCCCCCTGCGTCCTGACCTGGCAGGCAGGTCCGCCCTTCCCCCAGTCCTGGGATTCTCAGCATTCCAGAGCCCGGCAAATAACAAAGGCAGTGTTTGTGCCATTTCAGAACAAGCTTGGAAACTTTTAAATGTCAAAATGAATGATGTGGAAAGACTTGTGGGAGCAGCGAAGAGGCAGAAGCTGAGCTGGGGAAACGGAGAGGCCGGGGGCACCAGCGGGGCCACCGGTTAACACGTCTGTAGGGCTCCGACGTCTTTTAACAAAAGGGATACTCAGAAGCAGAGAAACATCTTGAGCTGTCACGAGAGCCAGTGATACGGCAAGAATGAGAAGATTTATGTGGTCCCGGCGGGGAAAGCTGGGTGCGTGGCATTCATTTACAGAGGATCTGCTGTCTGAGGGAGCAAGCCTCTGATGTGCACGAGGAGGTGGCAGCACTGTCACCCCAGCCGCCCCAGACCCGGGCTCTGGATCTGAGGACACACGCAACCTCGCTAAGGGCGGGGCGGGGTCCCATGACCCGGACGTTTCCCACATCGAAGGCCGGATTTGTCATTCGATTCCACCGCCCACGCTGGCCCCTTGACAGGACAAGGGATACTCTGGCCTCTCAAAGCCCATTATCACCTGGGTGGAGATGCCCGGTGCACCACAGGCAGGAAGCCAGGGCTCCAGCCCCACTCTGCCTGCCGCTGGGGGCTCTAAGGGAGGACAGCCACCTCCCTGACCTCAGTCTTGTCATCTGTGGGTAACAGGCCTGGGCTGGGGCGTGGTGACGTCCCCCTTGGACGGGGAGATCAAAAAAAAAAAACAGTGTAAAGTTTAACCTGCTGAATGGGAAGTCAGCCCTTATATTTCCACAGTGTGCTCCAACATCTGGAGTACTTTCATATACATTGTTTGGTTTTTTGTTTGTTGGTTTGTTTGTTTGTTGGTTTGTTTTTTGGGGGGCCGCACGGCTTGCGGGATCTTAGTTCCCCGACCAGGGATTGAACCCGTGCCCCCTACAGTGCAAGCGTAGAGTCTTAACCACTGGACCCCCAGGGAAGTCCCTAATATACATTGTTGAAACCTCATAACAATCCTGCGAATTAGGAAGTCCCGTTTTAAACATGAGGAAACAGGTCAAGAGTGAGATACAAGGTTCCAGAGAACCAAGGTCTTCAGAGCCGGTCAGAGCTCCCTCTCTAACCTCTGCTGCCTGTAGGAAATGTCATCCAGGTAGGAGGTCCACACGGGTGGCCCCAGCCAGGGCTGAGGACCGTATAAGCAGTGGGCATCTGGCCACTTCCTCATGGGGCAGCTTTCCCATGCCTCCGAGCTCAACTACGCTCCCCTGCAAAATCTCCCCTTTGCCTTGCCCTCTGGGAATGTCCCTCAGCTTTACTGACCTGTGAGCCCCAAGAGGAAAGGAACTGGTTTAGTGTTGATAAAAATCTGGAACACATCCCCTCACCCAATGTTCCATGCCTGGTCCTTCCATCAGGATTCCTATCCTAATTCCTGCCGTTCCCACAAACCCTGCCCGGTCCCAGCTCATTCCCACCCTGGGCCCAGAGCTGGTGGTCAGCTTCACCCCTGTTGGGACTGGGACTCCCCCACCACCCCCACGGATCACCCCCACACCTCACCCAGAGCCCAGGTGCCCACCTTGATGAAGACAGGGAGGAGAAGGGAGAACAGACCCTTGGGGCCCCTCGCCCTCTGTCACGTGTCACCAAAGCACAGCGAGGTTTCCTGGTCAAGACTGGGAACCAGGACGCAGCAGGCTCACCCCTTCAGAAGCAGTTGCTATGGAGACTAGGGCCCGGGTCCCTGATGCTGTCACCCTGCCTCTCTCTGCCTCCACCCCTCACTCACACGCACCACTCAGATAACCAGGAACAGCGGCTGAGCTCTGAGAATGCACCCCAAGGCCTCCACTCCACCCCCCACCCCCCAACGACTCAGCCTCTCAATGGGAAAGCACCTTCGCTTGGTCATCTGCCATTAAAAACAGACAAAAAAAATCCTCCACTCCCTCATAACCGCCGCCCACCCCCAGCCCCCAGAACAGTGAGACCAAGGTCCCTCCAAGCAGAGAGCAGGACAAGGGTACACTCTGTCCTGATCCCACTGCAGCCCCTGCCTCGCAGCAGGAAGGGGAGTGTAAGGCAGGCTGTATCACCAGGCAGCCCGGCTGGGATTCTCATCTGAGGCTCCCAAATGATCCATGACTTGTAGGCAAAACCCGCAGCCGCCTTCAACTCCCTCACACGGTGCGGGCTTGCGCCCCTGCAGGGAATCAGCCCACTGGTCCAAATGCCTACAGCAGCCATGATGGTAGTGACCCTGGGCGACTGGTGCATCACTTCCGCTCAGCTGAGCAGAGCGCGGGGGGTGGGGGGGGGAGCTCAGCAGAAGAACCAGTCCCACTGGCTGTGGTTGTCACCATGGCCACACGGCTCCTCCTTGACCAGAGGCCAGCAGGGCGGGCCAACTGAGGCACCCTGACCTTCCCAAGTGGAATGTGCAGAGGGAGACCACACAGCCCCAATCCTCCCCCACAGAAGCAACCACGTGCAGCAAGGCAGACGCTCTGGAGCAAAGCTGCAGTGAGCAGGGCCACCTCCTCCTGGCTCTTGGGAAATCATGGTCCCCGTCTAGGAAGAGCAATGTGGTAACCGAAGCATTCCAGTGCATGTGGCCCGGGGGCCGGTTTAAACAGAAGAGGGGTTGAGCACTCGCTCTTTTTGCTGCGTATAAGCAGAGCTTGGTTCAGCTGCCTGCCCTGGGTGAGGCGTAGCGGCCCTTCTCTCCGTGGCCCAGACCCACCCGGGGTCAAGCCCAGATCCTGTCCAGGCACCTGGCTCTACCAAAGTCAGGGTTCCCAATGAATTCACTGAAAAGTCATCTTATCATGGAATAAAATGAAGAGTGAGACAAAAATATATCCCACTCTAAAGCATCTGGTTTCTAGCAGTCATTAGCGGCCGGCAGGCTGGCAGTCAGCTCCAGCTCTCAGCTGCCTGCGAGAGATGGGCCCATGCCCAGGACAAGCCTGAGTGTGTGGACATTGACCGCGTCTCCCGGCCGCCCCCGACCGGAGGCCATCACACGGCAGCACCTTCCTGGCGGAAGCCTCAGCGTCTAGCACAGAGCAGACTGCGTAGGGAAGGGATGGGTGAGGAGGGTACCGGCCCCTCGTTGGGCCTGAGACTCTGGAGGCGGCAGGCAAGCCCTCCCACCCGTGGGGTGGGAGGCGGATCTCAGAAGAGGTGACCATACCCCACCCACCATAAGCCCCTGTGGGGGGCCGTCCAATGATGCCTGAATTTATCTGGGATTCTCCAGCAGCAGGTCGAGAAGTGGGAAGAACCCGGGGCTGGGTGGACCTCGATCTGCTGCTCACGCTTGTCTGGGCTCAACGACCCCCAGACTCTGCGACAATCGTCCCATCTGTAAAATGGAGACAAAAGCACCCACCAAGTGCCCAGGATATTGGAGAGAATGTAATCGTAAGGAAAGCACCCAGCACAGCGCCCAGCATATAGTAGGTGCTCAATACGTGGTCCTTACCATGGGCTTAAGGTGGCTTCTCCAATAAAGCAGTGCCTACATGTCTGGCCTGAAGGAGCACCCCCTCCAGCCTCAGGACGCTCACTCAGCACACGTGAGCGCCACACGGGAGCGGGACGGGGCCGTGTGAGGGAGGGAGGGTGGCCTCGGGGGGTCTGAGTAGGGGCAGGAGGCAGAGACCCCGCCAGGGAGAGGAGTGAGGGGTCGCCTACCCTGGGTCCAGCCCTCACCCCAGCCGCACAGCCTGGCTCCTGAGGGACGTCCCGCCCCTTCCCAAGAGCTCCCGCACTGGCATTGCAGGGTGCTTAGGAGTGCAGGGCCCTGATCTTTAAAGAACCACTGCCACACTCTGGCAGATGCAAGGAAATCACCCCGGTGCCTGAAGGACAGCATCCAAGTGTCCTCTGTTTCTGAGACACCAAATCCAAACAGGGCTGAGGCCAGGCCTGCCTGTGACAAGAGTCGCACATCAGCAGGAAGGTCACCGTGAGGGGTGAGGCAGAGCAGCTCCCTGGGGGGCCAGGGCTCTGAGGCCAGGACCGTGTGGCCCAGCAGAAGTTCCTGATGGGCAAAGGGGGGACTTGCAGGAAGACTCAGGTCCACTGATTCCCCACCACCCACCCCGGGAAGCAGAGTGGACCCTCTGCGACTCTCGGCTCCCTCATCTCGGATGGACTCCCAGCGCCAGTCCAAGGGGACCGGCACCGGCCCCGAGGGGGGCTCCACACTCTTGCGGCACTGACCGGCACCAGGGCAGCCCCTGTGGATTCTCCTTCCCGGCCCTGCCTTCTGCCCAGCCTCACAGGAGGGGGCGTCCAGGTGTGCCCAGAACCCGCACCTGATCTGAGCCGGGCTGCTCAGGATCTCTGCCCACGGATCTGATTTGCTGAGAGGTGCGGTCTCTCCCTAGAGGACCAACGTACAGTGTGTGAACTTGGAGTTGTGAGCCGCCCTGCCATCCTCCACGGAGACTGTGGAACAGACAGTCTTTCTGCAGAGAGAG